CAGTTTTATATTGTTAAAACACTTTACAGGATTTTATTGTTTATATTTTAAATCTTCACTATTATGTTATTCTTATACATTTTTCTAAGGTCCACATTTGTGTGACCATTTTTTTCTATAATCTTTTTGCTGCCTTTTTTTTTTTTTTGCTTGCCCATTGAGGGGCAATAAAGGGATTTTCTATTCTATTCACTTCTAGTTTCTGATTTTAACTTTTAGAAATACATGTTCAATAAAGTGTTAGAAAATTTAAATATTCAGATCTTCTTGGGCCGAATTAAGCATAAAGTTTTCATGTTTATGTCAGAAGTTTAAAACACCATGCAGGTGCATCTACTGTCCGGTTTTTCCTCATTAGTCCTGAATGCGGCGGTAAATAAAGGGACTCTGGCCTGTAGCTGCTGCTAGCATGGGAGCAGCTAGCACCCACCTCCGACCACAGCTCCGGTGAAAATCACTTTCTTCTTGTGTCGTTTGATAAAATTCCAGAGCGATGAAAACATCTTCAAACAGCTGAAAGTTTAAACATTAAAACCTCTGCGTAGTTTATAGCTCCTTATATCACACACATGTTAGCCGACTGCAGCTCAGCATTAGCATTAGCATGCTAGCCGTCGCTCACTAATCCCGCGACAAAACATCCGGTTTGACATTTCAAAATAAAGGGCTACTTTTTAATTCAATCAAACTTTGATTTACCGCCTGAGTTTAGATCTGAGAATGACGTCAGATTAAACAGCGTTTTTTTAAAATACAAAGGCCGACGTGCCTAGAGGGCGGCCATCTTGGATCAGACCACAGTTCAGACAGCTGCTGTCAGAATGAACAGGAGGCGCCTTAGATCTCATTTTAATCCCAGGAAACAGTCAGAGATAAAATTACAATAATCTCTTCCATGTAAAAACACCTTAAAAGACCAAAACTAATTTAAAACTAAACTTTCAGTTAATTTACACAGATTTATTAAGATTAAAAACTTAAAAAACTGAACTCAAACTGGATGAGATTTGTGCAAAGTTATATATTTTTAAAATTAATATGATAAACACAAAGTTTTATGGTAATATAAGATTATGTTTTACTAATAATTTATATAGTATATTCAGTATCAGCGATGGACAGGTGGCCCCCGCCTGTCGCCCGTAGACGGCTGGAGATGGATGGATTATTCAGTGTTTTTAACTATTGCTCTTTGATAATAAGTATTATGATCTATAGAGGAAAATTAGTTGTAAAGTGATTTGCAAAAGAGAGTAAAGTTATTATTGTTTTTTGATTGATTTTATGTTCATTTTTATTAATTCTTTTTCATTGTCAAGAGGTAAATGGTAAAATTAAACTTAAATTTTTCTTCCAAAACTCAAAGATCTGATTTAACGGATGGCTCGAGTCATCCTGGAGAGAAATATCAGCTGTGCTGCTGCCATCAACACCTTTGTTTCTAGATGTTGGAGCTTGGCCTGTTTTCCAGTGTAGTCCTG